TTGTTTCCACAGCACCTAAAGTACTTCTGTTAGCACTGACACCGTTAATCCTAATGTATTGACATTTCCGTCACCCAAGGCACGGGATTATCTCTTATTCATCTTTCCATCCCCCCCGGACACAGTGTCCTGCACGTGATCGGCAGGAGTACAATAAATGAGTTAAAGGAATAAGTCTGCAAACCCCATGAGAACCGTTTGCAAATCGGAAGGTATGTATGTGGAAAAAAAAAAAAAAAAGAACGAAAATATATTGTTTTAGCAAACGTTGCTACTTTCATCCTTAAAAGAGGCATCACAAAGATAGTTGCAATTTAACAGTCCACGGAGCAGCTCTCAGCCAGGCTTTCCCAAGTCAAGTCAGAGCGACTTGGGACAAACGTCTGTACTTTGAAGGCCCATGTAAACGGAGTTGCCCGGGTTGAATTCTCAGAAATCAGCCTGTAGGATTTCTGTAGGACAAAATAAATAGACTAGCCTTGCCAGGGGTATGCCGAGCTATTATATTCGATCGTGAACAGGATATTTACACATGGAGCAGGAAGGAAGTATATAGGGTGGACTTCAGCTGTACCCCCACCCCCCACCCCGTAAAGACAAAAAGAAAAGCCCTTGGTGACTGAGTGCCATAGGTGGGAAACATGAATTTAGTCAAGTCAAGGGCGCTAACATTCAGACAGTGAAATTTCATTCATGGGCAAGGAGATCTCTCTAGACAGTAGTGACATTTAAAGCGTCCGACTTCAGCCAGGTCACGATCTCGCGGTCCATGAGTTCGAGCCCCGCGTCGGGCTCTGGGCTGATGGCTCAGAGCCTGGAGCCTGTTTCTGATTCTGTGTCTCCCTCTCTCTCTGCCCCTCCCCCGTTCATGCTCTGTCTCTCTGTGTCCCAAAAATAAATAAACGTTGAAAAAAAAAAAATTAAAGCGTCCTAGATCACAGACTCCCTTAAAAATCAGATGAAAGCCGGGGTGCCTGGGTGGCTCAGTCGGTTGAGCGTCCGACTTCGGCTCGGGTCATGATCTCGTGGTCTGTGAGTTCAAGCCCCGCGTCGGGCTCTGGGCTGACAGCTCAGAGTCTGGAGCCTGCTTCATATTCTGGGTCTCCCTCTCTCTCTCTCTGCCCTCTCCCGCTCATGCTGCCTCTCTCTGTCTCTCAAAAATAAATAAACACTAAGAAAAAATTTTTTTAAAAAATCAGATGAAAGCCGTGCTGACCCTCACCAGCACATACTCCCCGACATCAAAAATCTTCACTGTTGCTGGTGGTGAACGGGCCTTCCTCCACCACCGCCAGGCCATGAATTCCTACTAGGAAGAAGGAAATCTGGCAGCCAAATTAACCACCAGTGGGGTCTGACTCCCACATCCATGTTCCTTCCGTTTTGTCGATGGGTGACCGTGGACGAGACGTAACTGCTCCAGACTTCACGTGGCTCATCCGTAAAACGGTGTGATGGTATCTACCTTATTGCCAAGAGTAAAGAATGACTCTGAAATGTCCAGCATATGATAATCCCTCCACAAATATCAATTTCTCTTCAGTTATCAAGTGGGAGGTCCTAGGAGCGGGCAAAATTGGAGGAAAAATGAATCACGGTGTTATTTTTTTCTCTTTCAAGTTGACCTTCGTTTTTTTCCTGTTCCCCAAGAGGTGTGGGTCATGATGTTGAAGAGGGCCAGGTGTTAGCGGGCCATCCCAGGTCCCCAGGGAGGAACAAGCAGAGCCTGTCCGGCAGACACATTTCTACCAAGCGGTCCCCGCAGGGCCTGGCACTTGGTAGGGTCCAGATAAATGAGCAAGAAGGGAGGGAGAAGAAGCAGAGAGAAGGAAGGAGAGGTGGGGGACCAGGAAGGGAAGGAAGACTGAAAGTGGTTGGGATTTTTCTGCTACCACAGAGCTCCAAGAACAGGGTCCCTGACAGGCACAGGATGAAGCAAAGCTGTGTGTACCTGAAGATTCTCTTTGCCATACAGAATTTCACGGAACAAATGAGAAGGGTGATGGATATGAAGGAAGGCACTTGCTGGGACGAGCTCTGGGTGTTGTAAGTGATGAATCACTCCATTCCACTCCTGAAACCAATACTGTGCTAACCTAAAACTTAAACTAACATTTAAATGAAACTAAAATTGAAATAAAAAGTAATAAAACACAACAAAACAGAGAAATGGAAAGAAAAACAGACTGGGAAAACATCAATTTCTAGAACGTGTCACTACAATTAACATAGAAGACTAAGAATGAAGAGGGGCCATTTTCCTCTTGAGAGGAAGGGTGATCTCGAAAATCTCTTGAAGTTTGAGGGGAGGGCCACGTGATGGAAACCGAGGCAGGACCTCGCCCTGTGTGTGGCCTAGGGCATGGCTCTTCACACAGTGGAGCTGCTTTTCCATTTGTAAAATTTTGGAGTCGGCCCAAACCAATGGTTCTCCATCTTGGTTTGCGCTTAGAACCACCAGGGAAGATTCTAAGGATCCCCATGCTCAAGCCATGGTTCATACAGTAGAAACTGTGGAGGTGGGGCGGGACATCGGCAGTTTCAAAGCTTCCCAGGTGACCTCAATGTGCAGCTGAACTTGAGAACTACTCCTTTGGGTGATCTCCAATTGTTTTTTAAAGTTTTTGATTTTTCTTTATTTTGAGAGAGAGAGGGAGACAGAATCCCCAGCAGGCTCTGCTCTGTCCGCGCAGAGCCCGACGTGGGGCTTGCACTCAACGAACCTTGAGATCCTGACCTGAGGGGAAGTCTAGTCCAATGCTCTACCGACTGAGCCACCCAGGCGCCCCCTCCAGGTGATCTCCAGGCTCTCACTTCTTGGGACGGCAGCATAGACATCACTTGAGATCTTTTGAGTAATCGAGACTCCGGCCTTATTCCAGAGCTAACACCATCCGAATCTGCATTTGAACAAGACCCCCAGCTAGTGTGTACTGACCTTCGAGTTTAAAAGCTCTGGCCTAGACACTTCCACCCAGCCGTTTGATCTCACAATGCTTTGCTTCTGGTGTCGCTATTTCAATACAACTTTTGGATCTCAGCACCGGGCACGATGTCAGCATTCAAAGTTTTATACCTGTGTTCCGTGTGTATATTTCAGAAGGGCACAAGAATATCCCATCACACCTGTACCACGCAGGGGGCTTGGCGAAAATAGATTGGAGGAAAAAAAAAATGTGGTAAAAGGTGCGGATGATTTTATGAGATTCTGATCAAAGATTGTTTTTCCTTTGTAGGAGGCAGTGGGGCCCCCTAAAGAGCCGCACTCCTCAACGTCAGCAACGCCAGTGTGGTTATTAGAAACACCTGCCTCTCCACGGCAGTTTGTATCCAATGTCTTCTCACCTGGCCACACATAATTTCCAGGTTCCTTCTCTGTTCATCATGCTACCCGATGGCGCCTTTGTCCACAGCTCCCCCTAGGAAGTAATAGGTGGGTTGGCAGAGGAGAGTGTGACCACTCTGGAAGGTTCCTGTTATAACGTTCATCACCTCCTTTAAGCAGACAGAAGAGAGGTCTGTTCCGAAAAAAGCAACAATCGTAAAACAGCCTCACCTTTAGAACTCAGTTTTGGTATTTTCAGTAAATCTCACCAGTTTTGGTGTGAAGAGTCCAAAGGATTGGGGTCATGGCCTTGAAGCGGTCATCTTACTACCTTATTCACGAGACTCATTTGACATCTGAAGCCACCAAGGATTAAGAAGAGGAGAAAAAGGATTTCTGGAACAGCAGAGCTCGGGGGAGAAGGGCCCTCCTTTCCAATCCCAGCTTCACACTTGTTAGAGGTAGGACTTTGGGGAAGTCGCTTAACCTCTCTGGCTGCCTTTCTTGACACTTTAAAAATGGGGGAACCAATGATCACTACGTATAGAGTTGTGGGTGTTGAGTAAGATGATGCATGTAGAGTGTTAGGCCATTATCTATGAGCAGCTCAATGGCCTAACTGGTTACTGACCAACGATACCGCATCCATTAGGATACCTTCAACCATAAAACCAAGGATCCAACTGAATGTGGCTTACACCGATAAGGAGATCCATTATGGTTTAAATCAAGAGTCTACCACTTGAATCTTCCCATCTCCGCTTCTCACAGTTTGTTGGCTACAGTTAAGGCATATACTCATTATATAACCATGAATCAAGCATATCAAGACAAACCTCCTCTTTCTCCATTATACTTCTTTTGATTTCTAATACCAGGTCATAGGCTGCGTCCGCGTAACAGAGGGTCACAATGAGGCTCAGTAGTTTGTCTGGCATCGCTGACCTTGGCTGAGCTCATTCGTGTATCTGGGGGTTGGATGATACAGGCTAAGCTTGACTGAGTGGCTCTGTTCCTCATTCTCCTTGGCCTATGATGCCAGCTGGGCCATGGTCTTCTCTTGTCCGGGAGAGGGGCTCAGGTGTCTTATGGTGTAGGCTTGGAACTGGCAACTTGGCTAACTTCCGCCCTTATGCCATTGGTCGAGGCAAGTCACAGTCAAGTCCAGAGACAAAAACGTGGGGCCACAGGTTGTGCCCACCGTGAAGCCAAAGGGTATGGATGTGCAGGGGCGGGGTGGAGGAAGGTCCGAACGTGTTTCTGCCATTAGATTCTGCGCTGGTTATATTACAGTATCATTCGATGGTCCCCTAAGTAAGCCGTCGCAGATGAGCCTGAGAGATCGCTTGTGAAAGGAAGGGTTTGCCCCGGACTTGGTGACCTTCCAGCTCTAGCCGCCCATGATTTACAGTGCGTGGAAGAAAACCTAGCGGAGTATGAAGACCTAAACAAAAGTGGGACAGAAGTGCTCTGAACCAGCATCCTGGGCTCCTGCTTCGACTTCACCAAATTCTGAAACCCGAGCGCAGGTATCCCCGGAATCGGCCCCAAACAGATGGCGCCCCGCGGTGACTCTGCCTGGAGACAAGCGCCCTGAGCCCGGGAGGGGAAGGTTCTCCGGTGAGCAGAGAGCGCGGAGGATGCGCGGGTCGTGCTGGAGGCGGGTCCCGGCCAGATGTGCACGGCCCGCCCCGCCCTCCCTGGCGCGCCCGGCCCCGCTGCACGGGGACAGGAGCCGCGCGCGCCTCGCCGGGGCGCCCTCACAGCCCGCTGCGACCGCTCCGGGGAGCGGCGGAGGCCCCGAGCGGCCGAGGAGAGCGGAGGCGGCCGGCCCGCAGCGCCCCGGGGCCCGCGCCCTCCCGAGGGGGCGCAGCAGGAGCGGCGGGAGGCGGCGGAGGGAGGCCCCGGCGCCACGATGCCGCGGCCCTGGGCCCTGGCGCTCCCGCTGCTGCTTCCCTGGGTGGCAGGTGGATCGGGGGACGCGGCCAGGTGAGTGGTTATCGCCCGGCCTGAGCTCCCCCGCGCGGCGGCTTCTTTCTCTCTCTCCTCGGTCCCTCCAGGCACCCCTGCAGCGTAGGGGAGGGGGTGCCAGTGTGCGCGCGCGCTGAGACGGGGTTCCAAAAGGTGCGGGGCCCGGGGCGCCCACGGGCTCTCCAACCCGCGCCCCTTTGGCGAGGCTTGCTCCCCGGCACCCCCGCACCGCCTGCGCCCCACCTGGCGGCGTCGGGCGGGTTTCGGGGGGAGAGAGGCTCTGTGCCCAGCCCGGCGGGTGCGCGTTCTGGCTTGGTGGTCTGCACACATCTGTGTGGGTGCGAGTGGCTGTGGGTGGGTGGGTTCTGTGCCCGTGGACTTCTGTATCTTCCGTTCTGTCTGTAGGGCGCCCACTGCTTGTCCGTCGCTAGTTTTGCTGGGGAAGGAGGGGGAGAAACTGAGGCCGAAGGAGTGTTTGCCGTGCTTGGGCTGAGCCCGGGGGTGGGGGGTGGGGGGCCGCGACCCCCCCGCCCCTCCTCGCCCCTCCTCGGTCTAGGTGCCTTTCTGATTAAGGTTGACGAACCGGAAAGAAAGGGTGTGAGTGTCGGATGAAATTGACTCGTTTTTTCTTGCTGTGGCAATTGAGACTCTGAAGCCGTTCTCTCTACTGTTGATAAACTTCTCGAAGCCCTTGAAAAACTTCTTTCTCCAGAGATCAGCAAAGCCACTTGGTAAAGACGAACGTAGTTAGGGCTTGCTGTCGGCCTGGCCCCGTTCTAAACACTTGAGGACTATTAACCCCATTTAAAGCCCATAAGTGTTGTGGTAATAAGCACTATGATTATAATCCCCATATGGCAGGGAAGAGAAATGAGGCACAGAGCAGTTGAATAACTTGCCCAAAGAGGCACAGCCAGTAAGTGATGGAGCCCGCGTTCAAACCCAGGCAGTCTGGCTCAGATTCCTGCACTCCTCTCCCGCACTAGGGCAGCCTTTTAGGAATCACTCCCTGGACATGCTTTCCCGGTTCTCTGGTTGTGATACCTTGCTTTCTGAGGTGCCCACTAGAGCTGGGTTCCTTTGTTGTAGCGCTGTTGACCTTTGGGGCTGGGCTGGACAATTCTTGGTTGGGGGTGGGTGGAAAGCTGTCCTGTGCATTACAGACTTTTGAGCAGTAGCAGCCTCTCCAGCTAGAATGTCCCCAGACACGCACCAAGGTGGGGGTGGCGGCGGTGGCTTCCAGAATCCCTGCCCTGTGGAGATTTTTCTGTGTGTCACTAATTCCCGGGGAGAGCAGGCTGAGAGCCTTGGTGGGGAACGGGCTTCTTAAAGGTGAGCCTGACTATCTTTGTTTGACTTACAGGGGGGAAAAAAAATCTTTCATCAGTCAGCCACCGTATTAAGGGATTTTGAAGTTCAAACAGAACAAACCTCAAACCAGGTTCTTAGAACGTATGATCGTAAGTTTCAATTTCCTTTCCACAATAAAAATGTAAGCAGATGCAATTTTGCTCATAATCACGGTTTCCTGGAACGTTGGGGGGTTCTTGTATGGCTAGAAAGCCTACTTAAGAAAGACCAAATGCTCTTTGGAGATGAGATTAACGGTTCCTCAGCAGCCGGCAAACCAACCTCCAAGAGCTCCACTCGCAAAGAGCCACCAAATTAAAATAAAAGCCGAAAAGCCCTCAAATAAACCAAGGAATAGTAAAACGAAGAATCCACATCAGGATTCTGCAATTCCTTGGTTTTCGAGATGTGAAATGTGCTTCCTTTACACGCTATCAGGTTCACAAGCTGGTGTGTTTATTACCTGCTGAGCGGGCTTGGGAATGTCAGGCGGTCAGCCCTCCAGGAGCTGCCCAGAAACCACGTTTAATCAACTCCAGCCCCCACGTTACAGACGATATGTTCACCAAAAAGGCAAGGCACTTGCTTGGAGAAGAGTGTGTCTTCCAGTTGTTTCCTGAGGCTTCACAGCCTACAGTAAAATCCGTGACTGCTGTGTAGAGCTTTCTAATAGAAGCACTGTTGTCTTTTGTTTTTTTTTTTTTTTTTAATTTTTTTTTTCAACATTTATTTATTTTTGGGACAGAGAGAGACACAGAGCATGAACGGGGGAGGGGCAGAGAGAGAGGGAGACACAGAATCGGAAACAGGCTCCAGGCTCCGAGCCATCAGCCCAGAGCCCGACGCGGGGCTCGAACTCACAGACTGCGAGATCGTGACCTGGCTGAAGTCGGACGCTTAACCGACTGCGCCACCCAGGCGCCCCTGTTGTCTTTTGTTTTTAATTAAAATACTGCACCAGGATTTTCGTGATCTAGAAAATTGCATGCCTCCTAAATGGTGCTTAGTGCATAGTACACAGTTATCAGTCATCAACTGAATAAATCATTAGCAGCATGCATTTTCATGATCTTGAGCATCAGTATTTGGCTTGAATCCTATGTATTTAAAAAAAAAAATCTTTCTAATGTTTTATTTATTTTCGAGAGAGAGACAGAGACAGAGCGTGAGCAGGGGAGGGGCAGAGAGAGAGGGAGACACAGAATCCGAAGCAGGCTCCAGGCTCTGAGCCATCAGCACAGAGCCCGACGCAGGGCTCGAACTCATGAACCGCGAGATCATGACCTGAGCCGAAGTCGGACGTTTAACTGAGACACCCAGGCGCCCCTGAATCTTATATTTTTTAAATGCTCTCTGGGCATTGGGACTTTTTGCCCGCCTAGGACATTTATTGATCTGAATTTCACCTCCACAGTGTTCCAGGACCTAACACTGGTGTCTTTTGACCTTGAGCACATGAGATAAATGTTACTGTTGTTAATCTTTTCAAGTTTGGAGCAATTCCCTGTTATAACATATATCTGGTAAACGTTTTTTTCTCTGTTGAATTCAAGTGAAAATGTGAGAGGAGGGAATGAGTGGGTTCATGCTGAGGGTCTGTGCTCAGGGAGAGAGATGCCTGCTTTCTGTAAATCACGCCTATGTTGAGAACTGATTCTTCTCTGAGCCCTGCTAAGAAAGCACCCTTGTACGAATTTTCCACACGTTTTGTGGCTTAAAAAATACACAGATTTATTCTCATAGAGTTCTGGAGATCCACAATCCAAAATGAGTTATAAGGGGCTAAGACGAAGGGGTTTGGAGGGCTGGTTCCTTCTGGAGGCTCCAGGGGAGAATCTGTCCTTGTCTCTTACAGCTTCTGGAGGCTTCCAACAATCCTAGGCTTGCATCCACATCACTTCAGTCCCTTCCTCATCACCTTGCCTTTTTTGTCTTAGTCATCTTCCTCCCTCGAAGAAGCAGCCTGTGATTATATCAGCCCCACCCAGATATTCCAGGATGGTCTCTCTCTCATAAGATCCTTAATTTGATCACATCTGCAAAGTCCTTTTGCCATAAGGTAACATGTACAGGGTCCAAGCCTTAGGACGTGAATATCTTTGGGGAGACCATTTTTCAGCCTTCCACAGGAAGCATGAACTGTGAATCCGTTGTTCTTGGTTTTATGGGCTGGATCTTTTTTTTTTTAATTTTTTTAATGTTTTATTTATTTTTGAAAGATTGAACCTGAGCATGAGAGGGGCAGAGAGAGAGACAGACAGACAGACACGGAATCCAAAGCAGGCTCCAGGCTCCAAGCTCCAAGCTGTCAGCACAGAGCCCTACACAGGGCTCGAACTCATGAACCGTGAGATCACGACCTGAGCCGGAGTCGGACGTTTCACCGACTGAGCCACCCAGGGGCCCCCTGGATCTTGTTTTTAAACACGATTTTAGTGATTTGTCAGTGGCTGAGGTATCATGCATCTTTTACATCTCATGGTCACTATTTCCTAGAGGAACTCCGCTCATTGGTTTAGGAGGTTATTAAAATCCTATTTATATGTAATTGATGCGATAAGCCAAGGTTGCACGAACATTAAAATGAAAATAAGTATCTTACCCAGTCTTCATAAATCAGATCAGCATTTAACAAATACTGTTGACACTCTACTGTGTGTCAACGCTTTTCAGTGTGATTTCAATCACTTCTCTCCTCAACCCTAAGAAAGAGATATTGTACCTATTTGACAGACATTGGGATGGACAAGCTTGAAGAGATTTGATGAATTTCCAAGAACCTTATTTGATTGGCTCTTCTGCCTTTAGAGCAGTGACATTCCAATATTCCAAATTTATTCCCCCACCCCCCAAATTGGATACATCGATGCTGACATAATCTCAGAAGCAGATTCTGAGACCAGGATTCGAGTGTATGCGGTTTATTTGTAAGGTGACCCCAGAAAGTTCTAGTAGGGAACGAAATGTTTTTGAAGTAAGTTACCACTGTGATTTCATCCTGCTGGGGAATTCTGGAAGACCGTAGGACACACAGCTCAGAGTTACCCCCCTGAAGGCAAGGGAGCTGGGGTATTTATACTCCCATCAGTCATTGGTTGAGGGCTTCTGAGGGGGGCAGTCTACACTTTCAGCTTACCGTGGGCACAGGCAGAGCTGGCTGCCGCCGACAGAGAAGACCCTTGAACATCACAAAACGAGGCTGGCCACCAGCCACAAGGCACCATTTGTCACTAACCTGATGACACAGGGAAATGCCGCAGGCATTTGTGCTTCTGGTGACAAGTTCTAGGACACAAAGTCCTCTGGGGAGACTAGGGGCAGGACATACGGGTGTCCTAAGGTTTTGTGGGCTGAGTTGTGTCCTCCCTTCCCAAATTCATACGTTGAGAATGTGACTCTTGGGGGACATAGTGTCTTTAAAGTAGTAACTAGTTAAAAATGAGGTCATTAGGGTGGCCCTAATCCAGTATGACTGGTGTCTTCATAAGAAGACATTAGGACACACAGGCTCACTCACGCGTGCACACACACACACGTACAACCACAGAAAAAAGACTGGAAAGACCATGTGAAGGTACAGGGAGAAGATGGCCATCTGTAAGCCAAGGAGTGAGGCCTCAGAAGAAACCGTTTGTGGCTTGATCTCAGACTTCCAGCCTCCAGAATTG